CGGGACAGCGACATTAGGTCCGGAAATGAGATAGTTTCTGGGAATGCGTTCATAAATCGAAAGATTTTACGAGAAGAGTGATTTTGAAAATCTTTGAATTTCTGATTTTGAAATTCTTCATTTGAAAATGAAGATAAATCATAATTTTCCCGAGCGAGAGTAGAATTTTGGAAAATAACTGTAGAATTCTGTTTATAAGACAAAGAATATTCCTGAACTATAATATTTTTCACAATTAAAGAAAATCGACATGCATAAATACAATCTTGGCTATAAATACAAAGTAAATAGAAGTGTTCTCAAGTATTCTATAAATAAAAAATATTCTCAATTTATACCGTCTATTTTATTTATCCACGAACTCATGGACGGTATTATTTACACATTTCCATTTTAAAAGCTGCCTGGACATGTTTTTTATTACTTACTAGTTAGTTTCAGTTGTAAGTGTACATCGTTCTGTACAGTGGTTTAGACACTTGGTACACCCTACGATATATTCTGACGCGACTTGACACACACGTTATGCTTTTAAACTAAATTATCTAAGATTAACCTTATATTCGTTATACAGTCTTTTTATTCTATTCGAGCTTTAGTGCCATTTTCTGAAATATTGATATACATACAGTTAAGAATAACTTTTTCTGTATAATACGCTAAACAATAAAATTTTTAAATAACAATTTCAAAATGGATCATGGATCATGGAATATTCTTCTGGTGTCATTAAATTTCAAACGATTAAACGATATATATATATATATATATATATATATATAGAGAGAGAGAGAGAGAGAGAGAGAGAGAGAGAAAATCCTTTAAACAATTAAGAAAGATGTATCTGTTGAACCGATCGATAAGCCTTCAAAATACTCCCAGCTGTTCAAGCTCAACTGCTGACCATCTTCATCTTCGTGTCATTTTCGTTCCATCTTCATTATCATGTATATCAAAAATTAATACTTTGTGGAATTATTTTAAAACATTAGTACTGTTGCAGCCGATTCTTTGAAATATAAGAAATATAATGCACTTGTGAACGTACGGTTTAATACAACTGCTTTTTATTACTCGCAGCTTTCCTATCGTATAATACACACAATAGGTGATCTTATGAGCAATCACACGTCTGATTTCCCGTTTGCTTATGATCGGCGAGTGATTCTCGTCGAATCTTGGTTCCTTCTTCCGTGATAACAAGCCTATGTGGAAGGTAATAACTCTTCTTATACGCGTACTTTCCCTTCTACCTTCTGTACTCTCTATAAGTACTCTCTATACTAAATATAATAATCATTTGAAGTTTGCATTTTATTAAAATAAAAAATTGTAGATAACTGAAATATATGGTTGCAAATACTTGAGATTAAAAATTAACATGATATGATGGAAGCAATGCATTAATTTTACATAAAGCATTATTAATTAAATGCCAAAATTATCTACTACGCAGATTATCTCCCGCAGTGAGATAACAATACACTTTTTCCATCATTTGGCAATCAGTCAACTACTTACATAATTATTGTCTCTAACATCTTGGAACAAACATTTTATAACTTGAAAGTATATGCAAAAGAATAACACTGACTTCAATATATCATAAAAGTGATAGAATTCTTGTGTTTCAACATATTCTTGTGTATCAACATATTAAATATATCTGGTTTGATTGTCAATTATGTTGATAACGCTTATAAAATGCATTCTGCATACTCGTGATGCTAATGTACCATATATACGATTACGGAAACACGTATGTAAAATCCAAATTTCACATGACTTGTGAGAGGCATGAGGGAAAATGCGCGAATACTAAAAAGAAAATACTCGTAATACACGAGATTTATCTATCGATTGACATTGCTTTTTTCGAATCTCTGCCTCTGTCTAATTGTAAGAAATACTCCGCTCCTATAAAAGTCAATTATTTTTAGCCAAGTTTGAATTTCCGTTTACAGTCTGGCTTTACTTCTCTCTTCCTCTTCTTTTCGTCTTAATCTAAATGTAAAAAAGCTTTAAAAAGTACTGTGCCCTTCTAATCTACCTAGGTAACTTAGCCAAATTCGTTACATATGTCACAGCAATATATAAATCATCAATTAAACTTGAATGTCTACTCAAAATTACAAAGACAATAATTCTTTTCAAGATATTTAATTTCAATTCCATGTTTCAATTCTATCAAATTTTAAAATTGTGTACAAGTATATATTCAAATATGCTTTGGAGTGGTCATCCAAAAATTCTATGTTTCTACCTATATCCGAAGCATCTACTTCTTTTTCTGATCATATTTTTGCTTAAATATTTACTTTGAAATAGTTAAAAAGAAGTTTTGCTCCAATTAGTAATTTGACAGCTTGTTGAGCGATTTAACTTCTTTTTGTATCTACGATTGCGTGCGACTTTCATGGGCAATCTTGACAACAGAAATTTTTATAATATAATTTATTGTCTTTTATCATTTATAGCAAGCAACCATTTGTTAAATTTTGACCTACTACTTTGATGTATATAATATACTTATATTACTAGAAAGAATTTGGAATTTTAAACCCACTGAGGATGGTTTAATATAAACCAAAACGTTTGAATTGTTATTATTATTGTATTTTATTTTGTAATATATTTACTCTTTTTGCTTGATTTAATATCTTGCTCATTAACCCTTTTTTTATGTTTCTTTAATTTAAATTTTTATTATCTGAACTGTTTTTCATTAGAAACTTACAATTAGTAATTTATTTTAGATTTAGGATATTTACATCAATTTGTGAGGCTGCTTTATATTTACATAAAATATATTCGTCGAACGCACATAAAAAAAATCATAAATAGAAGTCAGATTTTGAAATCTGACGCAAATTATGAATCGTATAAAATGGACTTTATACAAATTCTTCTCTCGCCGATTGATATTTTATCTCCAAATACTTCTAGCCCAGATGGCTCACGTGATAAGATCCTATCGTTTAATCGTTCCACAGCGAAGCTATTTGAAGTTTCATTCTTCGTAATTGTCATCTCTCTACAATAATAGCCAAATCCACTTGGCCGGAAGTGCCACTTCTAGGGGATGATGCGTAGCCCATCGTTCCGCTGTCAGCCATCGATTTATCGAGCCCGCTGCGGCGCGGCGTGGGAATTTGAAAGTTCGAGTGGGACGCGCTGGAATATCCGTTAACTCGAGTGCCGGAGCTTATGGGGCGACGAGGGTAATTAACACATCGATGTTCCTCTCTCGCTCCGCTCTCGTGGACCCCCAGCGAACAGGCGGTTGAGTTCGCGTGGGAATTTCACACCGCCGCGCACGCTCGCGTCTATAGAAGGCTATCAACGTTGAAGAAAATGTTTTCCATCGATTCCCAGAGTTTATCGTCCCAAGCTAGGAAGTTATCTTCGCGTGTAATTCGATCGTAATTGTCACGATTAAAATATATTGAGAAAACGAGAGAAGTGTTTAAGCGAATAAAAATTTATTATAATATACAAAATTTCTATAGATGAGTAATATAAATGTCTGGCGATTATCAATTCAGAGTCACTGTTTATGTTTTCTCTGCTGTCACTCTTGTTTTGAACTAGTGAGCACAAAAAAGAGGATTTATAATATAGTTTATAAAATAATATAATCAAAAATTCTATTATAATAGTATTTCAGTTTGGTGCTCGCCTTTGCGCGGCGAGGAATTAATTCGATATCTCTTCGTAAATCGAGTAACGCTTTGTGGGCGGATGAAGGATCGGTTGAAATTTAGAAATCGGTAGGAATCGAGAAACAGAGTCTTTTAGAATTTAAATCAAGAAAAGTGCTTTATTCCAGAAAGCGGGATACCGAGAACGCACGTCTAGTCTACACGGAGACAGCCGGACAAGTCCCGGCTTCTCGTTGTCCGCGGTCGCTCAACCTATCGCTTCTGCCCTTGCTTGTCATCGTGTTTATTAGTCATCGTGTTTGTTATAGGCCCGGTTTTTGTACTTGTTTACGACTTATGCCTTTACGTAACGACTGTGGAATTTTATTTTTTTCGTTTGCTCGCTGGATTTTTAATCTTTTTCGCAGGTTAACGATTCGGGGTAGTGGCGATACAATCGCTACATCAGTATCAAAATAAAATATACATGAAATTGCAGTATTACACATAGTACTGTAGTCTTACAAGATAATTTTTACGTGATTTGTTTAAGTTACTGTTATTCATGTGTCTTCATTAGTCTCTAATTCAAAATTGTGCAGATCAGGAAAGAATATTTCCACACCGCTTATGTTTTGCTCAACATTTGACGAATGCATAATATTGCAGTGTATTGTTATTTTTTGAGCCAATTTTTCTTCCAAGTTATTACTGAGATTTAATAAATTACGACATATATTCTTGTTTTTTCCTTTATAAATTAGCGTATCATCGTCATCGCTAGGTTTTTTATTATTTTTAATAATTTTTTTCAAGATAATTTTTACGTGATTTGTTTAAGTTACTGTTATTCATGTGTCTTCATTAGTCTCTAATTCAAAATTGTGCAGATCAGGAAAGAATATTTCCACACCGCTTATGTTTTGCTCAACATTTGGCGAATGCATAATATTGCAGTGTATTGTTATTTTTTGAGTCAATTTTTTTTCCAAGTTATTACTAAAATTTAATAAATTACGACATATATTCTTGTTTTTCCTTTATAAATTAGCGTATCATCGTCATCGCTAGGTTTTTTATTATTTTTAATAATTTTTTTCAAGATAATTTTTACGTGATTTGTTTAAGTTACTGTTATTCATGTGTCTTCATTAGATCGGAAGAGC